GCGGGTCTTGAAACAAAGCAGAGAAATTATGACCGTTAGTGGCCACAGGTGCGAAAGCTCTCTCCAGAGCTACTGGAAGCCGAATCTCGGGGACCGGAGAAAGTGGAGCAATATTCTCGCCACGCCAAGCAACAGCCTAGAACAACCTCAGCCTATACAAGTAACCACGTAAGCCATGCTACTGATACTGGACAGTTTTTCAGTGGGTGCACAATAAACGGCAACATACACATGAATGTAAATAAATAGCCAAATAATGGATCAACGCTCTCTGTCTAATATGTTCGCTAGCTGTTGTTAGTGTTATTGCATAGCAACCACCTCGCACTATGTTTCGTGCAGAAGGCAACAGAGGGACTATTTTATTTTGAACATCATTATTTACTAATAAAAACTATTTAAATTAGAGTGTGTATTTTTCTTTCATATTGCCACACTTGGTAACCGTTTTATAAAAGCAATAGCTCACTTCAGGCCGTGATATATGCTCATTATATCACAGCTAAGGGGGTTGTCGACCCTCCGCTTCGCGTCGGGCCGAACCACGCCCCTTAGCTGTGATATAATGAGCATATACCACGGCCTGTCGTGAGCTATTGCTTAATTATATATTATCATTATGTCAGTGGCCTAAATTGGTCATACAACGGTGCCGACAATATTATCGTTTATCGCAATCATTTCCGGGAAAATGTATCCAACAAAATTAATTATCGTGAGAGGCCTATACATGAAACACACACATATAGATAGATAGAGATAGATAGATAGATAGATAGATAGATAGATAGATAGATAGATAGATAGATAGATAGATAGATAGATGGATAGATAGATGGATAGATAGATAGATGGATAGATAGATAGATAGATAGATGGATAGATGGATAGATGGATAGATAGATGGATAGATGGATAGATAGATAGATGGATAGATGGATAGATGGATAGATGGATAGATAGATAGATGGATAGATAGATAGATGGATAGATAGATAGATGGATAGATAGATAGATGGATAGATGGATGGATGGATGGATAGATGGATAGATAGATAGATAGATAGATAGATGGATAGATGGATAGATGGATAGATGGATAGATGGATAGATAGATAGATAGATAGATAGATGGCTAGATGGATAGATAGATAGATGGATAGATAGATAGATGGGGTTATTAAGCCTACATTATTTTTGTGTGACTGTACCTGCAGTTCCTCCCTGACTTCCATCACTTTCTCTCTCTCTCTTTCTCTCTGCCTGTCCTGAGTCAGTGTAAAAAGAAAACAATACAATGTTATATTTTCAATGTTTTACTCAAATTGAAATGAAAGAAAAGCATTACAATGTTTGTTTAAAGGTAATCCTTCTGACATTGGATGAATGAAATTAACTTTAGCTCTCTTGCTAGTTTATTCACGCAATTTAAACCAAAGTATAGCCTATAGCTGCAATATAAGTTAGTGTGCATGTTGTCGGACGTCCACTGACTAACGTAGAGCGTTCACACAGGATCTGCTGGTCCTGTGATGTCCTGATGAACAGAAACACAAGCAGCCCACTGGACTCAGATCTCTAGATACCTCATCACTCCGCTGGACTCAGATCTCTAGATACCTCATCACTCCTCCGCTGCTCCGATACAAGTCCGGGCTGCGGTGGTTTGTTGATATATGTCGTCTTCTTCTGTTTGCTTTAATCGAGGCTACGTAGTTATGCAGCGCCCCCATCAGCAGTAAATGGAAGTACTACAAATAATGCTGTCAACTCAACATTGTAAATAACCAGCCAAAAACGATAGCCGGTTCATCTTGTTTTTGGCGTGAGAATAGTTTGGGCAGCGTGAGAGCGTGAGATTGAGAGTGAAAGCGTGTGTCACACGCCAGATGCGTGAGAGTTGGCAACCCTGGTGTGTGAGTGTGTGTGTGTGTGTTTTGGATTTGACTGTTACTTTGATGTCATTTATCTAGCTGATGACAAGTTGATATCCTTAGCCGCGTTCACACCGCAGTACTTTTCCCACTTTAGTTCCGATATAGTTCCGAAATGTCGCGTTCACACCAAAAAGAGCCGGAACTAAAATTAGTTCATCAGAACCTTTTTTACCCCCTTTTCAGTCCCTGCTAGAGATCAGGGACTTTCGTGGGAGAAAAAGGTTCCCATGTCTGATTGGCTGGGCGGAATGCAAACCACGCCCCGTAAAACTCCCAAAAAGTTTTGAAGCCGCCATTTTATTATCCTCGCATTAGCATTATTAGCATTAGCATTAGCCCAGCGCACAAACGCAGAGAGACTAACTTATGGCAACACAAAAGAAAACATGGGAGTGGTGGAGATGAGGAGGTGTCGGTGTTCTGGCGATTTACTCGGAAGGCCGGCCGGGGACTTCGGGTGGCAGTATACGCCGTGAAGTGGTTTGCGGCCTGCCAGTAAACCCAAAGCAGAAGAAGAAGAAGTGACGTCAGCGGCTTCATTTGCCTAATCCTTCCCCAGGAACTTATTCCGGTGTGAACGCGATCTGTACTTAGTTCATGAGAACTAAAGAGTTCTCATGAACTAAGTTCTCATGAACCTTTGTGGGAAAAGTACTGCGGTGTGAATGCGCCAATTGGTAATGCGGGACCATAAGCTACATGTCAATATCCAGGATTTATTTACCTGTATGGCTCAAGAAAACATAGAACTCTACAGAGAATGCATCTATACCCAGTTAGTTGAAGCATGGATATACACAATACATAACTGCGCCACATCTGACACACACACACACACACACACACACACACACACACACACACACACACACACACACACACACACACACACACACACACACACACACACACATCAATATAAGAGCTGACTCAAAACTTGTTAATGCCATGCAATGAAACTCAACAGCAGACTGAAAACATTAGAAAGCACACTAATTATTATTTACCAGATGTTGTTTGAGAATTTGTATTCCTTCTGTATGGTGGTGTGCGCTGTTTAAAAGCATCAATGGGACTGTGTGGAATTTGTATTTGCTTGTTTCATATGATTTTAAAACTTAAACTTTAGTGTTAAAGAAAATATCCCTTTATTTCACATGTTATTGTATTAAAAATGATTGTATCATTTGTGTGAAATTATCTTCATTAGCGTATGAATTATTGAGAAGTGTTTAAGAGACACACAGAATACCTGAAAACATAATGACTTAAAAAACCACATAGATGAAAGAAACTAAGCATTTTGATTTGTGTGTTGCCAGGCTGACAACCCTCTGTTCCAGACGGCCACCACCACGGTGAGCAACCCCACCTTCACCGGAGAGTGAGACACACGGAGGTGCAACGCTCACACAACACACAGCCATGTGTGTTTTAGAGCAAGGTAATTTGTAAAGGCCCTTTGCAAATATTTATCAACTTGTGTTAATGTTGACACGCTGTCGTTCTTAAAGAGGCCCTATTCTGCTTTTTGGGTGTGTTCTAATGGATTTTAAATAAATAGAATCCCTGTGTTCCCTCCAGAGGGAGTTTCTCTCCCACACTGGAGGGAACACAGGGATTGCTTTTATTCACTGTCTCTTTGACTGCAGTTTGATTATATTCGTTTGCATATTTTTACCAAAAGTTATGCACATTTTGTTTTGTTGCTTAAAATATTTAAAGGTGTTAAAGTATGCTGCTCATAATCATATACAGGAGGAGAGTAGGGCTGAATCTATTGAGGAGCAGACACTCATTTTTTTAAAGCAGTTTCTCTGTTCATGTGCCATTATGCTTGTAATGATGTCTAAAATGATTCCTTTGAGATGTATGTCTGTGTAAGGAAAATTAAACTGAAAGGGTTAAATAGAAGGGTTAAATAGAAAACAAAATGTTCAACTTTCAAAATTCACCATCTTAAATCATGACTTCCTGAGATAAGTATCTGCTCTCCAAACCCTAAATGCTGTGTCTGTGGTGAAGAGCTGACATTTATTTTGACACAAGTAGGAAGATCACGTTCATATTTGGGCAGGCTGAAGTAAAGAAGACTGCATGGTGCCCACCTTCATGGCAGAGCTCCTGAAAACATTTATGGCTGGATATTGGACTCAGATCCATCTCAATATTAATAAATGCATAGAAGTATAGACAACTGTGTTTTATGATCTATAAATGTCTTATTATAGCACCCAAAATGTGTTATTAATGTACAATGCAGCAGAAAGTATTCATACTTTCAAGAAAACTCAAGACCCACCTTTTTCATTTAGCTTTTAACTGAAATCTATTGTATTCGTATTGTATCTCTTTTTATTATGTATATGTATATATGTGTTATTTTTTTAGCCCAAAGCTATGTGTTACTCTGATTATTACCTGGGAAGGGGGAGATAGCATTGTTTTTATGTGTAAATTGTCTGTGTTTTGTTTGTGGAGCACTTTGCTTCATACATCTTTGTGTATTAAAACTGCTATATAAATAAAGTTTGATTTGATTACAATGAGATGAGGGTCATAATTATATTTCTGATGCACATACACAAATTACCAATTTCGAATAAATAATAGAAATTTGAAACATGTGAATTAGAAAGTATTTGCGATTTTCAAACTTTGACGTTGTTGCATATATTGTGTTTTCTAGTCCATGACTAGAGAAGGGAAAATACCAGGAGTAAACTAGCAACACATTTTACAACTTTGAGTAACTAATGCATTAAATAAGTACTTTTCAAGTGTTTAGACTGTTTGAAGTTTAGCTGAAGCAAAGATTATAGCCGATTCAGACAGCACATTTGTGTGCATTTATTTATTTGTTATAACAAAATATAATATTCTGGGAAGAAAATCAATTATTTCCATAAATATTAATTGTAATATCTACTAACAATGCTATATATAAGCTCAAATTGTTCAAATAATCAACAGGTTTGGATGATGACATCATGTTGACCTGGATAAGTTCACACGTGTAAAATAATAATCTTTAACCTTGTTAACAAAAAAACCAAGACACAATTGAATGGATCATTGGAAAACAGACTGCTTTCATTTTATTTTTTGCAGGCTGAATGAGGAAATATGTTATACATCTAAAATAAGCATGTCTTCATTCCACTCCATGACATAATGTGAAAGCTGGCTCAGTTCACATGTTCTTGTTTGTTCGCTTTTCACAACCGGAAGGGGCTGCTGTAGCCTGAGCCGGGTTAGGAGACACCATCAACACAAAAACACTCTGCTGATGATTATTATTGGGGGGTCAGGGCGTAGGCCTGGGACACAGGGAGAGCACAGTAGAGAGCCTCAAGTGCAAAAGCAACATTTAAAGAAGTCAAACAGCTGCTGCGCTACATCTGCTGGGTGGAGTTCCCGTTCCAGGTGTTGTTCTCGTCCTCGCTGTCCTCCTGGTTCCTCAGCCTGCAGATCTTACCATCTTTCCTGAAGTCCTTGGGCCGCTTCTCCGCAGTGTGAACGGGGAGAGTTTCTCTGACACACACACACACACACACACACACACACACACAATAAAGTGAGAGAGAGAGAGAAGAGAGAGATATTTGCGAGTTGAATAAGAACTGGTAAGATAGCAGGGTTTCCCACACATAGACTTAACATGGGCGGGCCGCCCAGGTATATTAACGGTCGCCAAAGTAGAATTTAGGTTTAATTTTTTTAATCCGTCCGCGAGCACGACGGCATCTGCCATCCCTCGCTCTACCCCTCGCTATCGTGTGAAGGGTCTGCTTTATGCGCTCCACACAGTAACCCTGCTGCGAGGCTCCGGTGAACAGTTCATGAGCGTGCTCACTAGCGCACCTCCCCCCCCCCCCCGTTCATAAAGTCAAGTACCCCTCAAAAGGTCCGGTTTATTTCATTTTAAGGATGCGCACCAAGCAACATCTCCAGTTGCTCCTTTGAGAACCAGGGCAAAAATGTTATGTGCACCCCTGTATATAATATCTTCATTTGTTCATGAAAGAAATGTATTGGTGTTGATCAAACAAAAGAGTGTGTTTAATGTGTTGGTTGTGTCCGCAGCAGCAGTTAACCTGTTAAGCACCAAGCCTGTTTTTCATGTTTCAGGCTCGAAAATGACATGCCCAAAACAAATGACTACAACTTAACTTCTAAAAGGGTTATATGAATAATTTCTTTTATCAAAGCAAGGTTACATCTGTGAGTTGGATGTAGAAGTGTCAGAATCAATATAGATGTTTTTTATTTTAAAGAAAATTCAGATTTTACATAGTAAAAAACTGTAAATTATAGTGTCCGTCCAAAAATTCTTTTTTACAGATAGTGAAAACTACCCTTGGATGATGGGTTAGTAGACTAAAAGCTTTAGGAATCCAAAGTACAACATATAATAAGTACCCTGTATCAAGATTGATGCAAAACAAGTGACATTTGACCTTTTTAGAGAGGTTTAGCCAAAACCACCCCACCTCTGAGGTGATTTGGGTGAAAATGTTTTTTTTTCCATATCTCTGGCCCCCCTTGCTCGATTTTGATGGTTGACACCTCTTTCTGGCCGTTAGAGCCAATAGAATCGAAGGGGGAGTCCCCCACACACACACGTTGTGAAGAGAAGAGGTGGGCGCTTCGCGCATGTAATTTTGCAGCAGAGCGAACCTATCTCTAGCTCTGACATTTGGAAACGAAAAAGCAGTTTTATTGCTTATGGATTATCAGAAATCATTTCAAAGAGGACACAGACACATTGGATTAACCTATGGATTAACTGCAGCATTGTTTTTTTATCGTTTTAATGCCATTGAAGACCAGCTTTGACCAAGGTAAGCCATGTTAGCGTTTCTAGCTACCTAGCTCCACATGTTATGATGTACACTTTCGTTTATAGCGTCGCAAATGTTTATCACTGAGTGTTGAGGTGGGCACCCCCAGATTCTGTATCTCCAGGTGATGCTAATCGATGGGTTAGCTGTACATCTAGGATAAGTAATAAGGGAGTTATGAGTGAGTTTAGGTGCAGAGATAGGTTACATTTTTTCGCTCGTGGCTAATTCAGAGGCTGAGTGTTAGCATTGTGTTTTTTTTTTTTTTTTTTTTTTTTTTTTTAAAAGATCAGTTAGCTGAGTTTCTTCCCGTTACATGGATATAAAACATTCATAGTTTATTAAATATTAAGATTGCTTAGACGTTGTTTCCTGCAAATGGCGCGTTTATCCGCCCGGTACCGTGGGGGCGGTGCGTAACAGGTTAAACAACATGTTCTCTGACTGAGAAGTGTAGGCTTGGGGCATTTTGTATCGTACATATACGTATATATCTGTGTGAAATGAAGCAGTGACTGGCTCACCTGTCAGAGGCTGCTGCAGCGGCAGAGTAAGAGCTGGGCTGGGGGCCGGGGCCTCTCTGTGCTGCTCCTGGAGGGGGCGGGGTGGCAAACAGGAAGGAGCTGAGGAATCTCCCAAAAGCTAGCACTGGGTAGAGGATTGTGCCCAGGAGGGCCCAGACACCGCCCCCTGAGGACTGCAGCACTGTGTTAGCAGGCCTGCCTGACTGCTGCAAGATATAGTTCAAACAGGTTTAACAGAGGCTGAGAGAACCCCATTCTAACTGGAGCTCTGCACTTCACACACAGAGACACTGATACCCACACACACATCAGATCATTTCCCAAATGTTGAATCATGCCTTTAAAAGCAGTGCAACATCACAGTGACTGTTCCGAGTGCACTGTGTGGATCATCACTGAGCGTACTCACTGGCAGAAGCACGATGGAAGCACTTGGAGTAAGCTCCAGCTCTAGAAAAGTCTTATTCAGGTCTTCGCTGGTGAACTCCCGCCGAGGGAACATGGTTGCCAGCGAGAAGTTGCCGTAACGGTTTCCCACCTCCTGAAATAGGAACACCATCAAATATTTCACAGTGATTTTGCATGAATGTACAGACCCAAATTACAATGAAGTTGGGATGTTGTGTAAAACGTAAATCAAAACACAATGATTTGCAAAGTCTTTTCGACCTATATTCAATTGTATACACTAAAAAGACAAGATATGTAATGTTAAAACCGATAAACTTTCTTTTGTTTGCAAATATTCACTCATGTTTAATTTGATGCCTTCCAAACAAGCTGGGACAGAGGCAACAAAAGACTGCGAAAGTTGAGGAATGCTGAAAAAACTCATTTTTGGAACATTCCACAGGTGAACAGGTTAATTGGAAACAGGTGAGTGTCATGATTGGGTAAAAGGAGAATCCCAGTTGGGCTTGGTGGTTCACAAGCAAGGGTGGGGCGAGGTTCACCACTTTGTGAACAACTGTGTGAGCAAACAGTCCAACAACGTTTTTCAACGTACAATTGCAAGGAATTTAGGGATTTCATTATCTACAGCCCATAATGTTCTCAAAAGATTCAGAGAATCCAGAGAAATCTCTGCATGTAAGCTCCAAGGCCGAAAACCAACATTGAAAGCCCGTGACCTTCGACCCCTCAGGCAGCACTGCATTATAAACCGACCTCATCCTGTAAAGGATATTACCACGTGGGCTCAGGAACACTTCAGAAAACCATTGTCAGTGAAAACAGCTCGTCACTACGTCTACAAGTGAAGGTTAAAACTCTACCATCCGAAGCCATATATCAACAACACCCAGAAACTCCGCCGACTTCTCTGGGCCGAGCTCATCGGAGATGGACTGACGCAGAGTATAGAAGTTTGCTGTGGTCTGATGAGTCTACATAACAATAGTTTTGGGAAATCATGGACGTCGTGTCCTCCAGCTAAAGGGCCATCCAGATTGTTTTCAGCGCAAAGTTCAAAGCCAGCATCTGTGATGGTATGGGTGCCCATGGCCATCTGTGAAGGCTCCTTTTAATGTTAAAAGGTACAGACAGGTTTTGGAGCAACATATGCTGACCTCTAAGCGACGTGTTTCTCAGGGATGTCCCTGCTTATTTCAGCAAGACAATGCCAAGCAACATTCTGCACATGTTACAACAGCGTGGCTCCGTAGCGAAAGAGTGGGGGTACTAGACCGGCCTGCCTGCAGTCTAGACCCGTCTCCATTGAAAATGTGGGGCTCATTATGAAGTGCAAAATACACAGAGACCCCTGACTGTCAGTAGCGTGGCGTGGGGAAAAAATTAGGGGAAGCCAATAATACGTCCTTTTTTTGGGGTCGGGTGGGGGGGGGGTCAATGTAACGCTGTAACCAGATGAGTGATTACAGCGCCCGGTATCATTTTACACACATTTGTATCATACAGATGCAGGACTTACACACGCCTACTTTCTAACAGACAGGTCCGCACGCACTCTCCAGCCGAAACTCTAATAAGCATTCATTCACAAACTAAATCAGGAGACCTTTAAAGTTTTACGTCCGATTCGCTCCTTTTTTCCTCGCTGTACACAGCTCCAGTTTGGGCATTGGCCTGTCATCAGATTTAATTTTAGTTGCTGCTGTAGCGGAAGTTTAGTACAATTATTTTTGATTAAATACTCCAAATCTCCATCCTCCATAATTGCACTTGCTTCAGTTGCTTGCTACTTTCTAACGGCGGTGAGAGTGGTGCAGTATCTATCTATCGATTAGATTTATGATTCGAAAATTATAAAAGTAGAGTAGACATGTGGATATTATCCGGCTGAACAAAACGTGCATTTATCTAACAGGTTCGTTTTCCACTGACCTTATATCCAGCTCTTTTCCAAAATCCTATGGAGAAATCCCATTGCTTTTTTGTCGAGGGAACGCGAGCGCAGCTTACTTCCGGGTTTTAGGACGCGTTAGGACTGTTTTACCATAACATCTAGAGGGGCGCTGTTTCACTCTTTGTAAAATACTCAATGAGAATGGGGGAGAGATGGGCCGGCAGCAACACACAGCAAAGAAGAATTTCCGAAACTAAACGAAGTGTTTTTATTTATTTATTATAATTATAACTACAATCCGAAAAAACAGGTGAAGCCTGGCTTCCCTTGGCCTCCAGGAGAAAACGCCACTGCTGACTGTTGAGTAACTGAAGTCGTACATCAAGCAAGAATGGGAAAGAATTCCACCTACAGTACAAAGCTCCAACAATTATGGCGCATTTCCACTACACGGCCACGCTCGGTATGGCTAGGCCTCGTTAGGACTGGCTCACTTTATGGCGCATTTCCATTACAGTTTAGGAACTGGGGTAGTATCTATAGTAACGCAGTGTAGGCGGAGCCGTGACGTCATCTTCAATGAGAACCCCAGAAAAACAACACAGCCGTTAGCTGTTAGCACTCAGAGCTCACAGCTCCTCATATCTGTTCAGAAACTAGACAAAAGTGAAACAAGTACAAACCACAGACTGTCTGTGTCATGGCGAATACAGTCGCTGGTTTATTTATGTCTGTATAGGCCGTTGTTGTGAGTGTGGACGGTTGGAGCATATACTGCGTTAGCTTAGCCAATCTCCATTTAGAAAACACGCATTTTAAAAGGTTTTTCGCCTGCCGTCTGTCTGCAGACTTGTCAAAGCATTAATTCATGGTTTTTACTAACCGGTATCAGTATGTTGTTACTTCTGCATCATTTTGAAACGTGTATTACAATTAAATCACGGTCAAATATGTCCATCTTGTTGTAGTTGTAGCCCCCTTGCCAGCGATTCTCTCTCTCTAGTTTAGCATACTCAGCCCGACTCAGCCTCGTTGTCTCTGGCCCTAGACCAGGGGTGGGCAATTCTTTTTTACAAGGGGCCACTTCAGAAACTCGAGCTGTGTTGGGGGGCCGAATCAAAAATAAGTTGAACTTAATTCTGCTCAATATACCAATACTGAAAAGGTGTTTTACAGTATGTTAAAGATAAGAAATGAATCAGCTTTATACAAAAAGAAATGAGTGCTTTTGATTTTTGTTTTTCAGTTAATTTTACTTGTTCAGTGAGAAAAATCCAGTCTGTCTTGGGCTTGAACAAGTGCACGGAAATCTGGTTCAATGTCTGAGGTGGATATGCGAAGGACAGCTGAGAGGTGATCATCAGTGATAGAGGATCTGTATCTGGATTTGTTGAACTTCATCACTGAGAATGTCTGTTCACATATGTAGGTAGATCCAAAGAGGACCATCATCTTCTGAGCACGTCTCCTGATGTGTGGAAAGTTCTCCTCTTTCAGGGAAAAGTAAAACTCAGGCAGTGAGACTGACCTAAAGTGCTCTGACAGAAGTGTGTCAGACTGCAGGTCAATGAGTTCAAGCTGAACATCACTGGGTGCATCATCCACATGGCATGTAAATGGGGAAAAGATCATGTTCATTTCATTCTCAACTGTTTTGAAGTCTTTAAATCGCCTTGAAAACTCACCATGCAGTGCTTCTAACATGGATGAGTACCTCTGGAGGTGATCAGCTGATGGTGTGGCTTCCTTCAGTGTTGGCAAGTGCGTGAGAATGTTGTCCTCCATTTGGCTTGAGAGAAGCTGCAGCTTTCTCATGAAAGCCTTCACTGCACTGTACATGTCATGCACAAAAAGGCCCTTGCCTTGCAGTTTGACATTTAGTTCACTCATTAGTGCAGTCACATCTACAGCAAAACCAAGGTCTGCCATCCAGTCTGCATCTGAAAGCTGTGGGATGTCATTTCCTTTCTTCACACAGAAGTCTTGAATTTCTTCTCTCAGGTCCCATACTCTTTTCAGCACTTTGCCGAGGCTGAGCCACCTGACAGCTGCATGGTAGGGTATGTCACGATGTTCAGTCTCACTTTCCTCCAAAAGTGCAACAAACTGTCTGTGATTCAATGCTCTTGCCCTGATGAAGTTAACTATTTTAGTTACAACATCAACAACATGGTTAATTTTTAACACTGACTTACACAACACTTCCTGATGTATAATACAATGCAAAAATACCTATTTCTGCTCAGGGTTAATTTATGTCACTTTATCCTGCATTCTCTTCAATAGTCCAACATTTTTCCCTGTCAGATTTGGACAACCATCCGTTGTCACGCCTGCCAGCTTGTCCCATTTCAGTCCCAACTTTTCCACACATGCATTTACCTCCGTGAACAAATCACTCGCTGTTGTTGTCCCTTTCATTGACTGCATGGCTGCCAGCTCCTCCGTGATTTTGAAGTCTGTAGTTATCCCACGTAGGAAGATGAGTAGCCGGGCAGTGTCACGTACATCGCAGCTCTCATCCAAAGCCAAGGAAAAAAAGTCAAAGTTGACCGCTCTGTTCTGCAGCTGAAGCTCCAGATTTCCCGCGATGTCCTCAATTCTCCAGTGCGTCGGGAGAGCGGCACTTTCTCAAATGCCTCCTTTTTCTCCGGGCATATTAGTGTCCAACAAACACTCCTTAATGAACTCTCCCTCCGAAAACGGTTAACTTTTAAGACATAACTCGTCTTGACAGCTGCATCTCTGGATGTGGAATGTTTTGTGAAAATGTGTTGTTGGCTTTGCAGCTTAGCTAGCAAAGCATCCGACCCCTTTGCCCGCTCTTCCTCAGACAGGTTCTTGTATTTATCTGCGTGTTTGGTAGCATAGTGGCGACTCAAATTGTACTCCTTGAACACAGCGACCTGCGCACCACAAACTAAACACACAGCTTTACCTTTCACTTCTGTAAATAAATACTTAGCGGTCCATGTCTTGTTGAAAACGCGGCATTCAGTATCGATCTTTCTTTTTTTTCCCTTAGCGGACATTTCGAGGACTAGCCGGCCAGCATCACTCGTAGCTGTTCACGGCATAAGCGTTTACGTAAATAAATTAAAAAAACAGCAGCGCCCTTTTCAAAATAAAAGCAACACAGTTAGAAAAGTATTTACGCCATGCAAGCAATACAGCTGTGTTGCTTTTATTTTGAAAAGGTTGCTGTTTTTTTTCATTATGTTATAATTTATGATCAA